CAAACTTAGGAGAGCAACGTCATGTAAGGTAATACATGTAGTACCAATAAGTATGTAATTAGGATCCTCATTAGCCAATATATTGATAATTTTTATAATAAGTAAAAAACACACAATAAGAAACACGTAATTCATTCTCATACCGAATTATTTGGTGGTATGGAATTACAGTGAGACTTAGTATAACACCGTTTGCTTCATGAATTTGAAAATGAAAGTTTTGGTTAAAACTTGGGTTTTGTAAAATCATGAATTTATGACGGAGTGGTCCATTATGAATTTGAAAAAAAAACAATTGTTTGCTTGCTAGATTTGGTTATGAAGTACCACGATGGTTGAACTCCAAATTACCTTGATGAAGTGATCGTGGTGTAAGCCTGAGGAAAATAAGAGTGATGTGAAGATTGACTCTATAAAGCTTATTGATGACATCCCCTACACTTTTCTCTGCTTGTGAACAAGAATCACGATATAAATCTTGCTCGAGAAACTTCTCGCAGTTGCCTACATCTTTACATTTCACACTTCACATCGTAATCTCTCTCTCTCTCTCTCTCTCTCTCTCTCTCTCTATATATATATATATATATATATATCTTTTTCATGGATTGCTTGTTGGAAAGAGAGGGAAGAGGGTATTTTTACGAAAGCCCGAAACCGGGTGACTAGGATTGTGATAGAGTCGTGAACAAAGTTCACTTTCCGTAAAGAATATTTCCACCCTCACTCAAGCCTAGGGTTACATGAAATTTTTTCGTAGGATAAAACTACCACCACTTTAGAATCTAGGCTTAAGAAACTAAAGCACACTTAGAAGGTTTATTATGGAAGAAATAGAATGTGTCTGTTCCTGGTGTCTTCTGTGTCCCACAACCAGCCGAGTCCCTCTATTTATAGAGAGCCAAGCGTTGCATTGAAGGATTGCATCCTTTCAATTTGTGTCCCAATTCGGAGGAACCATTTATATTGAAACGTTGCTTTGTTTCGTTCCACACAAATGAAGCATTGCCATTATCCAACTACCAAAACGTTGTTCCATTTCTTTAAAAAAAATGAAGAGTTGCCATTATCTGTTGCCAAGAGTCGCCATGTCAAACTACATATAATTTCATTTGAAATGAAACTCAGCAATTCCAGTGGCTAACTGCCATGCAACGTGTCCATCCTGTCCAAATTAAAAGAACATGGACTTAATAAGGCTTGGCATCACATTTTTTTCCCGGTAATTAGCATTTACCATTAAGCACACCCTTTGCCAATAGCAAAGATTCTCGAAAAATACAGAGGCACAAATGGCCAAATCCTTCTTACATCATACTCAGCATGATAAACACAGAAGGAAAAAAAGAAACATAGATGCCTAGAGCAAATGGCAACAATCAGGAATCTTCATAACCTCTTCATGGAATGCAACATTCCCACACCAATACAACCCCAACTCCTGTCGAAGTGCTTCAGCGGGAGCAAGTGAGGAACGTGGACTCTCGCCAAAGCAACGACGATACCTTTCTTTCCAAATGAAGCAAAGACACCAGAACCAAAGCGAGCACTCTACCAGGTCATATCCATCTCCCTGCAAAGCTTTCTCAGTCATAATATCCAATGTATCACTCCAATTCAAAGGAAGAGAAATTGTCTTCTTAAGAAGAGCAGCAGCAAAATCAACAGTATAAGAACATTCACAGAATAGGTGCTGTTGAGATTCAACAACAGCATTACACAGGGGACAAGTATCATCATTTATCAAACCCCAACTCCTAAGTTTATCCCGAGTAGCAATCCTATCAAGAATGATCAACCATGTGATGAAACGATTGCGTGGTAACATAAATTTGCCCCATATAACTCTCCACCAAGACACCTCAGGTTTTTAAGACAGATAGCATCCCAGATCAACGAAACAGAGAACCTATTCATCTTCCTTCCCATCCAAGTCACATTCCCATCTATCTCAAGAGTCATTCTGTATTGGAGCCAAGGATGGATCTTGAGAAGCTACTTCCAGATCCATGATCCAGAAGATGTGAGCCTGACATCCCAAATACAGTTACCACGTAGCCTATATTGGGTACACCAGGCCATCCAAAAACTCCCCCTTGAACCAAAAGAAGCCAGATCAGTCTAGCAAGACATGCAACATTCCATGAACTCAAATCTTTTAAACCAAGCCCCCCTTCCCTCTTTGGCAAAGCAATTGAATCCCAGGAGACCTTGGCCCTACCAACTCCATCCCCATGCCACAAAAAATTGGAGCAGATTCTTTGAATGGATTTAAGAACTTTTTTAGGGAGGATGAAAATTGCCATCTAGCAGTGAATCAGGGCATAAAGAACAGACTCAACCAACTGTAGTTTACCAGCATAAGAAATCTTTTGGGCTCGCCAGCCCCTGATCCTACTTGTTAATTTGTCCACCAAAACAACACATTCAACACTAGACAGTTTACCAGAGATCAATGGCAGCCCCAAATAACGAACTGGCAACTGACCTTCTCTAAATCTAGAAACTTGCAAAGCAATGGACTTAAATTGATGAGCAAATCCCCCAAAAATACCTCACACTTATCAGGGTTGCACTGTGGACCAGAGAGCTTATAGAAATTGTCCAAAACTTTCCTGATCCCACTCAAAGCTAGACCTGAATCCTCTGAGAAAATCAAGAGATCATCAGCAAAGCTTAGATGAGTGAGACCAAGTTGCCTACACTGAGGGTGATAAGGCATGTCCCTATTAGCAGCTGCTCTGTTTAACAATCCTGTCGAGGGCTCCATTGCAATCGTAAAAGGTAGGGGGAGAGAGGATCTCCCTGCCTGACCCTTTTAACAGCTCCAAATAAACGAAACAGACTACCATTGACAGTGATACTAAAGTAAGTTGAGCTTAGACATAGAGAAATCCACTTAATAAAAGACTATGGGAATCCCATCAACTTTATACACTAAGAAGATATCCCCAATGAACATAATCAAATGCTTTCTTAAGATCCACCTTGATGGAAGCCCTAGCAGATAACTGTCTCCTATTAATTCTGGACAATTTCCGGAGCCATTAGGATATTCTATAAGATACTACGCCCCTGAATAAAGGCCGATCGGTTTCGACTAATGACAGAAGGAAGAACTTCCTTTAGGGGTCGTTTGGATGAGGAATTGTAACGGATCAATTTGACATAATTGTCTTGTTTTGAGATAATTGTACCAAATTGCCTCGTTTGCCAGCAAAAAATTTGGATGGATCAATCTGCCTGAGGTATTTTGAATTGATCTGTTTTGAGTCAATTTAAATTACCTGGGGTGAGGGCAGGTAATTCGAATTGACTGTTTTAATTGCCTCGTTTATAAAACGAGACAATTGATCAAATTGACTCATTTCTAGATTGATCCATCCAAACAACCCCTTAGTCTATTTGCTAACACTTTAGATATTATCTTGTATATAACATTTATGCAAGCAATAGGTCTAAAAGCATTAAGCCTATCTTCATTTGGTATTTTCGGGACAAGGGTCAATGAAGCAGAATTCATACCTCTTGGTAGATGCCCTTCTTGGAAAAAAGCCTGGACACCTCTAATTATATCAGGGCCAACAACTCCTCAACATTTCTGGTAAAAACCCGTTGTCCACCCATCTGGCCCTGGAGACTTTGCTGGATTCATGTCAAATAAAACATGCCTTATCACTTCCCCAGAAACCAACCCACACAACATAAATCGATGAGAGTCTCTCAGCTTCTCACTCAAGCAGCCTTCAATGAGCTCACAATCCACAACCACATCTTTATTTATAGTTCCAAATAGATCCTTATAGAAAAAGATCGCTTCATCAACAATATCCTTAGTATCCGTCAACTCTTCCACATTATGAGAGATTATTTTCCTTATCTTCTTTCTAGCATTACGTATGCAAGCAGACTTGTGGGAAAACCCTGAGTTCGAGTCTCCTAGGGCAAGCCAAGTAATACAAGACTTCTGTCGGAAGAAAGCCTCTTCTGTTTTTTTTGCAGCTGTAAATAAGCACTAGAGAGAATGCGAACTTCCTCAAAAACCCCTTCAGATGGATCCTGAAGAGCTTGGATATGCTTAGGCGTGTAAGCTCATTCCTTTTATCCTTGACTATAGCAGATATATTTGAGAACTTCGATTTATTCAGTTTCCTAAGTTCTGACCTTAGAAGATATAACTTCTGTTTAACTCCAAGCAGTCCCATCCCCCTCACCAGTTGCCCCCAACGAATTTCCAGTAATGAAGAGAAAGATTCATGCGAATACCACATATCAAATAAGTGGAAAGGTTTCGAATAAGACTTTTCAGGAACACAAGGAATAATCAAAATCCCACAATAATCAGAGAAATCAGGTGCCAGAAATTCAACAACACATTCAGAAAACTTCTCTAACCAGTCCACATTAACCATAAACCTATCCAGCTTGCGAGCAATGGGATTACCTTGTTGTTGATTAGACCAAGTAAACAGAGGCCCTGAGGCTTTATGGTCAACTAACTCCATCTGTTCCACCCATTCTCTAAAGGCAATCATACTTCCTGAGATAGAGACATCATTTGAGGCCTCTCTGCAAGGTCCATAATATCATTGAAATCACCCCCTACAACCCAAGGAGCCCCTTGAACCCTCCAATGACTCATTTGCTTGTACGTGACAACACCATCTTTTTCCTCATTTGAGCCATACACCACTGTGAAGAAAAACCATATACCCTGTTTCAGTGAAACCACCATATGCATAAAATTTTCCTCCTCAGCTAGCACTCATAGCCTAACATCATCATTCCACGCAATCCAAATCCTTTCGAGCTTATGTTTAGAGTAATTATCCACAACTGGAAACCAACAAATTTCCCCCTTATTTCCTCAATTTTCTTTTAATTTTGCACTCTCGTTTCAAGTAAAGCAAAGATAGAAACCCTGTGTACCCGAAGGTAATGAAGCACTACATTGTGCTTCAAGGGGCCATTGAAGCCCCTTGTATTCCAAATGAGCAGTGTCATTTTCGGGAAACAACCACCTTAGTGGTTCCCCCTTTACTTCGAAGCCCATCCCTTCCCCCTTTCTTCGGAGGAGCGTGCAATGTAATGTCCCGTTGGCCACATATTAGGTCAAAAACATTAGAATGTAATATAGGAGTAGGTATCTTCAGAGCAGATTTTGGCTTTGCTCCATTAATCACCTTATTGAACTCTTCTTGAGAAGGCAAGGCACTCGGGGTAACAGGAGGGGTGCTATCCTCAATAACCTTCTTGCCCTTAATAGTAGCAGCTTCCTCCTCCATAACCTGAACAACCTCCTTCTCATTAGCACCCTCAACCTTAGTCTGCCCCAACACACGGACCTTGGACTGCTTGCGACGCCAAACTCTTTTAGTACGAGTCCCAGGAGGCGGGAGAGAGCAATCATGCCCAAAAACCCCACAGGTACCACAACACCGAGGCAGCCCACAGTATTCAATTCCAATAAGAAACTCAGACATATCATTTGGAGCTATGCTAATTTTGTCAATCCTAGGCTTCGTTGCACTTACTTCCACACAGATACGAACAATACCAACCCTCTCTCATTCCGCAGTAGAGTGATCCATACAAAGAGGCTTACCGATAGAGCTCCCAAGCTGACCTAATCCTTCCCTCAACGCCAATTCAGCAGGCAACCCAGATAACTTGACCCAAACCGGAACAACTGAATTGTCAATCTCCAACGCACGAATCCCAGGAACCCAGTGTCGAAGACAAATAATCTTCTCTCGATAGTGCCACTACCCCCCTTCAAAAACCCATCGATAGGTCGCCTCCGATGGAAATTGAAAGAGAACGAGCTTTTCTAAGAGCGAAACCTTCACCTCCCCATCCCCACTACAGATCCAGTTGGCCCAGAATCTCAAAGCCGAAAGGGAAGGCGGAGCGACCAAAAATTGACCCACAAGGTTGTGCTCCCACTTCTTCGTACCCTCCTCGACCACTGATTTGGGAATCCGAAGTGACCCATTAACGAATTCCGGCTCATAGAAATCCAATCGAATATCCTCCGAGACATGAAAGAGAGAAGCCCAGGACTTACCGCCACCAACGGCGCCAGGCGTGGCTCCGCCGGCGACGGCGGCCATCGCGATGAACAAAGAAGGTTTTCAGAGAGTTACCGGAACTAACAAAGCTGGAGTTACAATGAACCGGAATTAGTTTCACCAAATTCCAACATTGCTCACCTAAGATACTCCATGAGAAAAGAGTGAGAAGAGAAGTCAGACACGATGAAGAAAGAATGAGAAGGTAATGTAAGGACACACGAGAAATATAGAAAGTATATGGATATAAGGGTAAATAATCATTTATTGATTTTTAGCCCTCATCAAATCCTACCTCTACTCGAATGGAATCTCAAAGTCCATTAATCTCATGAATTTGATCTTTCTAAAAGTAAAAAATAAAGCAATGAAGTTTGAGGTAAATCCACGAGAAGTTGGATTTGAACTACCAAAGATTCAAATGGCTTACAATCCTCGTAAGTCGTAAGATGCATGTCAGGGATAGTCAAAAGAATATTTTACAAGGGTAATAAGATGTGGATATTAAATAGTTTTTTCCAAATATATTAAAATTATAATGTATTTTGTCTAGTAGTATAAATAATTCAATTTTCTGTACAACAAAATAAAAATTCGATTTAAAACGATCAAATATAGTCGGTTTGAAATTAATAGAAGAGTGATTTATGCACTTTATTTTTTTAAGTAGGATAGAATATTTAGTAAACATCACATATATCATCCTTTGTACTACTAATTGTATTTGAAACTCTTACTTTCGTATTATCATAATGTCATTTCCCCCTGTTTGTTGAATGCTTCACGTATTAAACAAATATAACATATATGATATAAATAGTTTGAGGAATTTATTTATATTCGTTTCTAGATTTTTAATTTGTTCATAAAAATCATGAAATGTATATTACTTAATTACTGTTGCCAACTTTTTAACAGGTTCCTAATTTGTTAAATATATATCCATGAATTAACCACAAACATGCAAAAACAATAATTATGATTTTATCTAGTGAAGATACCATTTGTATAAAAAAAAAAACTGAATTTAACCGCGATTCCTAGACAAATCCATCCTAGTCATAAACGGATGAATTTGACCCCATTCGCATCCAAATCCCTCATAGGAAAGATAGGAAGAACACGCTCCCGATCTGTTACTCTCTGGTTGTCGTCTACTCTGCTTTCCGGCTATCCCTCTATAAATCGACAGAAAACGATAGTTCACGGCATTATATTATCTGCGCATTATTTTTCTCTACTCTCCAAACGTGCTAGTCTCCTTTCCCGAGAAAGCTCTGCTGCTTAGGCTGTACTGGGATCAGATCATCCTATCGGCAGCAACCATCTTCTTCTTCACCCGAACGAAACAGAGGCCGCCCAAGATGGGAACGGAGGTGCTGAACTTGGGTCACAGCCATGGCGGCGCTTGCTGCAGCAAGAAGGGACCTGGGTATGCCACCCCGCTTGAAGCCATGGCTGGTCCTAGGGAGTCTCTCATTTATGTTACTTGCGTCTATACTGGTAAACCTCCCTTCTTCTTTTTCTTCTTCTTTTGTTTGACCAATCAGTCCCCTGTTTTGTGAATTTGACGAAAACGTTGTTGCAGAATTCTTTTCAGTCCACTGTTCTTCATTTTATAAGATCCGTGTTGTATGGTTTTGATTGACGTGTAAATGGGTTCCGGTTGTGCTTTCTGGGTTCTAAGAATCGGGCTGGAAAAATTAGATTTCATTTCTGGCTAGTTAGGGTAGGAGAGCAGCTGTGTGGGGTGTTCTTGTTTTTGTGTTAAACTGATGAACAATCAAATTAGAGTTCCTTCATTTCTGGTTTGTTTCTCTGATGTGTCATCTGCTGATTTATGTCTCCTTGTTGATGAATCTTATACAGGAACTGGAATTCAGAAGCCTGATTTTCTAGCAACTGTGGATCTGGATCCGAATTCCCCTACTTACTCACAAGTCATCCACAGGCTATCCATGCCGCATTTAGGAGATGAACTGCATCATTCTGGGTGGAATGCTTGCAGCTCTTGCCATGGCAACCCATCTACGAGCCGCCGCTTCCTTGTCCTCCCTTCATTGGTGTAAGTAACTTGTGTATGATTAATTCACTTCTCTCCATTCTCAATCTGAGATTTGTGGGTTTATGTTGTTGAAACAAAGACATCTAGTTCATTGGGATGGATGGTGATGATTAAAAAAGGTTTTACCTTTGAGATTGTTCTGATAACAGTGTGTTTCCTTCCAGTTCTGGACGCATATATGCAGTAGATACCCTGAAGGATCCTAAAGCGCCATCTCTACATAAGGCTGTAGAGCCGGCAGACATTTTGGCCAAGACAGGATTGACATATCCGCACACTGCCCATTGCCTTGGCTCTGGTGATATAATGGTCTCGTGCCTTGGCGACAAGGATGGCAATGCCGAGGGGCTTGGGTTTCTGCTCCTTGATCCCGACTTCAATGTGAAAGGAAGGTAAGATGAATAATATCTGTGTTGTTCAACCTAATTCTGCAAGATGATGATTGTGATAATATGAGCTAGCTTCTGTTACAAGTAATGAAAGTAAACTTCATTCATGCTTCACTAGGTGGGAAAAACCAGGCAATTCTCCTCTGTTTGGCTATGACTTCTGGTACCAGCCGCGTCACAACACAATGATCAGTACATCATGGGGAGCTCCTGCTGCATTTACAAAAGGTTTTAACCTGCAGCATGTGTCGGATGGTCTCTATGGAAGGCATCTCTATGTCTATGATTGGTCGACTGGTGAACTGAAGCAGCAGCTGGATCTGGGAAGCACTGGCCTCCTACCCTTGGAGGTATGTATGCACTAACCATGAGCTATTCATGGTTGCATCTGTGACATATATAGTGCACTTCTTTAATGCTTGCTTGCCAAGGCTGTTTTTTTAACTTCTAAACAAAGTGCCTGACATTTAGAACTTCTTTATCTATACACCAGATAAGGTTCCTGCACGATCCTTCCAAAGACACAGGGTTCGTTGGGTGCGCCTTAACTAGCAACATGGTGAGATTTTTCAAGAATGCAGACGATTCCTGGAGTCATGAGGTATGGAGGATTGTCAGATGAAAGCAGTACAAATTTTTCCGTTCCTCACTTCTAACCTTAACCTAATAACACTTGACTCTTATTCCTGGTGTTTGTGCATTAATTTGCAGTTGGCGATATCGGTGAAACCTCTCAAGGTGAAGAACTGGATTCTGCCTGAGATGCCTGGTCTCATAACCGATTTCCTCATGTCACTTGACGACCGGTTTCTGTACTTCGTCAACTGGCTTCATGGAGACATTCGACAATACAACATTGAGGACGTCAAGAATCCGGTCTTGACAGGACAGCTCTGGGTTGGGGGACTCCTGCAGAAAGGTAGTCCCATAGTAGTTGAGACAGAGGATGGTGGCACCTGGCAGGCTGATGTTCCAGAGGTTCAGGTACGTAAAAAATCACCCTATTGGTTTCTCATCTTCTACCATATCCCCATTGGTAACGATAGTAAATTGAAAGAACAAATATTTGGGGTTCTTTACTTTGACAGGGGAAGAGGTTGAGAGGGGGACCTCAGATGATTCAGTTAAGTCTAGATGGGAAGAGGCTGTACGTGACAAACTCCCTGTTCAGCACCTGGGATAAGCAGTTCTACCCAGAAATGGTGGAGAAGGGGTCTCACATGCTGCAGATTGATGTTGACACAGAAAAAGGCGGGCTGGCAATAAACCCAAGCTTCTTTGTAGACTTTGGAGACGAACCTGGAGGTCCATCCCTTGCTCATGAGATGAGATATCCTGGTGGTGACTGCACTTCAGATATATGGATCTAAAAAGGGACCTGCTGGTTTATTTCCCTGCCTGAAAATCACTGTTCTGTAGAGTGGTGGGAGGCTGACTTGAGAACCTGAGAGGGATCCGCTGGAGGAACCGAATTGAAGTGAACAATGTTATAGTTTGTATCTCTCTTTTCCTGAACATCACAATTTTAGGTTTGTAGAACAATAATAAGTGGGATGTCTGTTTGTATTTGAACCTTATACAACATTAGATCCGTCGTTAAAAATGGTTCAGTGATGTTTACAATAAGATGCAGGACTAGTAAAAGGAAATGCTGCAAGACAGTAGCTAGAAAAGCCAAAACACAGTTTCAATTAACTACTCTATGTTAATCCTAACAACTTTTTTGGCTCTCGCATTACTGGAAGTATTGCTCCCCGACCTGTTCGGACCTCTTCCTCCAGCACCAAATATCGCAGCTGGATTAGCCATATCTCCCCAGTTCACCATCTCCCTCGGTTCACGAGAACCTGCTTCAGAATGCTCAGATTCATTATAACAGAATGTCATAAGAAAATAAAGAAACCTTAAAATTACTCGAATAACAACAAAGAACACAGGAGGCTTCTTAATCCGTTCCAAGCTTGCATTTCACCATCCAATCTTAAATTCTACTGCAACCTAAAACCCACTAGGCCTCTATTGATTCCATACCGAACTCTGCCTACAAATGTTTCATAATTTCTCTACCAGCAGCCAGCTCATTCGACCTTTCGATGTATGTAAATCTTATGGGACGTAGCGATAAGCTATTATCTTACCAGAAGTTTCAGTCATCCCGGACGGATTGATAAACCCAGGCAGGTGACCACTGAAATTACCCTTCCTCCACGCATCTTCAAACCCTGCAAGTCCCTCTGTAATATCACCTCAAGATTTAGTATTTCCTCAAGCTGTAAATTCATTGCCAATGTTAACGTCACAACTAAGGGGGGAAGTACGAATACCTTCATCGAGATTGTGCAATGTTTGTAGCGTATCAACCTTACCATCTGGATTAAGCTTCCGCGTGACAGAATGTCCCTATGATTATATAAAAGGGAAACAAGATAACAAACAAACAGCAACATTAAGCTTCCACATGAAACACAAGCCTTAATGCCCAAGTATGCTTAGAAGTTTACGATACAACGCAAGATACTTGGAAAGCTCATCAATAATATCAACAACAATCACCTTATCATTAATTCCTCTTGAGACTCTATGCGTCGCTTGACCTGTAATCTTATCTGCCTCTCTGCTCTCCTCAATCGTCACCTGGAAGTCGAACACAGTCCAAACCCTTAAACAAGTGTAGAAAACTGAATCAGAGAACGAACCCAATTCTCTGAATCAAGGGATCACTTACTCCATCACCACCAACATGCCTGGATCTTGTCGAAGAGTAATAAGCTCCATTCACACCACCATATGTAACTTTGCTGTAACTGAATCCATGAGACCTAGTCCCATTGCCTTGTGTCCTGGTATACTCGCTCCCTCTATTCACAGCTAGAACATTTCCCTCTGGTAAACAAACAAACTTAGCAATCATCACCACCACGCCCCACATACAAAATCAGGAAATGTATATGAGCAAAGGGGTCATTTACCATTAGTTTCATCGTCGTCGTCAGGGTGCTGAACCGAAGGTTGTTGTTTCCTAGAATGATCCACCTTTCCATGAACAACCCCTGCCCGTTTCTCTTGAACATCTTCTTCCATCTCATCATCAGAAGCCAGCTCCTCGATCACAAGACCTTTTGAACCACTTGCCCGTGCAGCATGAGCAGTGGGGGTAGAATTGCGAGATTGGAACAACGGACCATGCTCAAACATTCCCCCTAAAGGGCGAGTGAAGAAAGGATCATCAAATGGATCCTTCCCACCAAACAGGCTAGGCATAGGCATCCTGCCAGCAGCCATGAAATCGGCAGCAATAGGATCCGCCATGCGAAAGAGCTCGTCTATATCATCCCTTTTCCTCTGCATTCTGAATACCGAATGTCCCCAAAGATTAACCCTTTTGCTGTTTTCTTTTTCGGTTAGCAGGGGCCTCAAATATTTAAACCCCGACAAGATCAAAGACAAAGAAAGAGAACAGAATCAATGGGATGTGATCCTCTCTCGCTGCAATCTATCAAATACAGAAGCTTTTTAATACGAACGATTGAAGCAAGCCAAATGTTACAACAGGGGCTACAGCATCTATAATCTGTAACCATTCAGATGGGAGATGGTTCTTTGCGCGGGATCTAGCAACCCAGTTCGCTTTCGAGTTGCTCTTCTGACCAATGTGTTTGATCTTAATCAAAGGATTAACCTCCAAAATCTGTCTGATGGCGCCAATCCATGCGCTGCACGCCACGACCACGTTTTATGTTGGCTATGCACTGCATGCACCAAGGATAGGCAATCTTAACGAACCAGACAGGGCGAATTTAACCCAGTAGCCAAGAGAGGGCCTTCCAACAAGGCTTTGGCTTCTGCTTCAAGCAGGGAAAAGCAATGCGATGCCTCAGCTTTACCGTCACACACTTGACCATGGTTGTTCGATATAACGACGCCATATGCCGCCTCTGGGGAATCGCTAAAAAACGATACATCGCAGTGTATCTCAAAATCATGAGAACTTGTCGGTGATGAAGAGTGCTCCGGAGGTGGGGGGAGCTGAGAGGAAGATGGGCCAAAAGGACGCTTTTTGGGGCAGTTGTTCCATTATTGATGAGCGTTGGATGCCTTCGTGATCGTGGCGGGAGGCTAGAGTGGTTCATTTTTGAAGATTCTTTCATTCCTCGTTTTCCAGGTCTGCCACATTAGGAAGATAATCTTTTGGATTGAGATGATTGAATACATGTATCTCAGAGAGTCGAGCCATTCCAGTGCCGGGGTAAGAGGAGGGGGTGCTGATAGGGATGGCCATTCTTGTCTCCACCCTTCTGCTGCATGAGGGCACAAAAATAAACAGTGCTGGATAGACTCTGCAGGGTTAGCACATAACGGACAAGCCTTTGATGAGGAGCAGTTCCTCGCATGGAGGTTTTCCTTTGACACCAGGGCACCTTTCGAAGCCCTCCATACGAAGAACTTTAGCTTAGGTGGAATGGACAAGCTCCAAAGCCACTTCCATCTATCTTTACTCTCCTCCGACACCATTTCATAGTGGCCTTGTGCAGTTCTAAAACGGTGATGGAAGTGGTGGAAAGCTGATTTAACCGTGAAAGCCCCATTCTTAGTGAACCTCCATGCCCAAAAGTCCCGCAAGGATGAAGGGCCAATAGGAGTACCCGCCACCATTCTCAAATCAAGTGGACTAAGAAAATCTGCAAGGAGATCAAATCTCCATTCCCGTGAAACCTCATCAATCCAGCTAACAACATTAGAGTTATCTGGCCATTCAAACTGGAGCAAGGTCCCTGCCCGGTCAAACCTCCAAGGATCCTGAAACATTTTGGTTGTTCTACCATTGCCAATGACCCTTATAACACCCTGTCCCATCCATTTTTTCGCTTCACACAAACTATTCCATAGCCACAAAGCCTTGCCCCCCTTCTTAGGATTCAGAAAGTCAGATTTTGGGAAGTAGATACTTTTAAGGACCTTGACCCACAGAGCATCAGCGTTGGTGAGCACTCTTTGGAGAATAAAGAACATGACCCGCTCTCCAATGAACCATTTTTTTCGACGTGGAACCCCCCCAGAAGAAATTCTTCAGCATGGTGTCCTTCCTCTTCGTAATTGATCTTGGAATAACGAACGGGCACATGATATAGGAGGGGATGGCCTGAAATACTGCTTTTAATAGGATTTCTTCCCCCCCCCCCCCCCCCCCCCCCGGGGAAGGAGCAGGCTTTTCCATGCTTCGCCTCTTCTTTCCATGCGTTGCAGGAGGAAGTTGAAGGTCTCCTTTTTGGACCTCCCCCATTCAGTAGGAATGCCAAGATAGCTGGAGTGGCAGATCTCCGTCACAAAACCACTAGCCTGGATAATCCTATCCTTTTCATCCGTCGGCACGTTGAAGCTGAAAAACAGAGATGATTTCTCTCTATTCACTTCTTGTCCTGTCACTGCCCCATACATATTGAGGATAGTCAAAATCCTATCCACCTCGTCTGTCGATGCTTCACCGAAATAACAGTATCATCCGCGAACAGGCAGTGAGAGAGGGTCGGGCAGGTTCTCTTGAGCTTGATCCCTTTGATGTCTTTGTTCTGACCGCTTTTTCAATCAAGAAGGATAGGGAATTCGACATAAGAATGAATAAGATGGGGGACAGGGGGTCTCCATGTCGAATTCCCCGAGATGGCCAGAACTACTCAGAGGGCTCGCCATTCAAAAGAAGTCTGAATGTGACAGATGTTATGCAAGATTTAACCCACCCACACCACATATCATTAAAGTTGTAAGCTTTTAGGAGCTCAATGAGGAAATACCACTCCACCAAGTCATAGGCTTTCCTCATGTCAAGTTTCATCATCATCCCCCTTCTAGTGCTTGTTTTACGCTTTTTGAAATGATTGAGAACTTCATGAACAATTATAATGTTGTCTTGTATCTGTCTTCCGCCTGTGAAAGCCGCTTGAAGTTCGTTGATCAGGTCAGGTAGCCACGGTTGGATCCTATTGGTCATGATTTTAGTGATTAATTTATACCGAAAGTTGCAACAACTTATCGGACGAAACTGTCCAATCCGTTCAGTTGCTTCAACCTTTGGGATGATGGTAATAAACGTATCGTTCAATTGATCCTATATGACACCTGATTGGAAGAAGGTGATGATCTCATTGCAGAAAGAATCCCCCCAATACCCCCAAAAACTTCGGAAAAGTGGCCTAGGAAGCCGTCAAGACCTGGTGCTTTGTTTGCTCCAAGCTGAAACACCGCTTTCCGGACCTCCTCTTTCTCAATTGGAGCTGTAAGGCCATTGTTGATCTCCTCCGAGACCAAAGCAGGGAAACCGCTTAGAATTTCCGAGTCGAGTCTCCCATTTCTGCTGGTGAAAAAGGTTCCTGTAGAACGTGTTGACATGTTCATCAATATCTTGAGGTATGTCGATCCATTCCCCATTAGCATCCCGGAGCTTTAGTATATTTTCTGTTCTTTCTTTTGATTGTACTAGCATGGAAGAAACCTGTATTCTGGTCCCCTTCTTGCATCCAAGGGATCCTTGATCTTTGAGCCCAGAAACTCTCCTCTGAGCTCCATAGCGCTTCCAATTCTTGTTGGAGGCTCTCTCCTCAGTGACCATCTCCTGGGTTCTGATTGGACCTTGCGATTCCTGAAGTCTATGTCGAATCTCTTTTTCCCTCTTCTGTTTGTTCTTACGATCATTCCTAGCCCAGTTTTGCAATCCATCTTGACAATCACCCAGCATATCCTAGATTGTTCCGCCATTGCCCCATCTATCATTAATAATCTTACAGCATTCCTCACTTTCCCTCCAACGTTTGTGAAACCTGAAGGGGGTGCAAGGTTGGTGTCTCAAGGGATGGAGATCAATCCTGATCGGACAGTGGTCAGACTCCACAAAGTCTTTGTGGTAAACCGTAGCCGAATCATACTCTGTTCTCCATGAGGCTGAGCATAAAGCTCGATCGAGCCTCTCCCTAATCAAAATACAACCCTGCTGATTATTACTCCATGTGAAGGCTTGTCCCAAAAAACCGAAATCCACCAACGCATTCCTTGCGATGAAATACTTGAAAGGAGCCACATTTTCATTCCTAAGGGGCACTTCCCTTTTCAAAAGGGAAAACGGCGACATTGAGATTGTTACACCCTGACCTTTGAGTTCGGGTTCGACCATAATACGTGAATGGTTGGATTAACGGTTATGTACTAAGGATTGCAACCGCGGATTAGGAATAATAATAATTAATATTATTATTTAAAAAAAAGGAAAAACTGGCCGAGAGGGTGCTCGGCCCTCATTGTAATTTTCCATCACCCCCCCCCCCTCCAGCGCAAAAACCCGTTGACATGATTCTTCTTTCCCTTCCCCACCAAAAAAATTCCCAGCCGATCTCGACCAGTCTGCAGTTGTCGATACGAGAGAGCACTAGGGATGCCGTAGCTTGCCAATTGTGAAGAAGCTCAGGGTCGTGGCGGTCCGGGTATCAAGCTGTGATGAAGAGTTAGCAATTCCCAAATGTCGACTTGGAGTGCGATGTACGGCGAGGTAAGGATTCCCTCCGGTCAGCATGTCGGTCAATTTTTGGTACTAGTGGTGGTCATTCTGTATAGTGGTTGTAACTAATTATTGAGCTCGAGGAAATTGGCAAGGCCAAGAAAGTGAGACCACTGTTTTGGCTTATGGAATTCAAGGGATGAATCACATCTACGTATGTCCATTCTTAAAAGGCTATTTGGATTGGTGGCATGGATGGATGGGAAGGTAGTGTGAATTAGTGGGAAGAGGGTTGTGATTAATTTCTCATCAACTGACAAATTCTATTCACGTAATTGCATGATCATATGGAGAATTGGAGATAGTATAGCTTGTGCACTTTAAGCAAGGAGTTGTAACGATGGAGTATCCACAAGGTTGGGGATAGTTCAAGAAACTAGCTGACTTGAAAACAAGGTGAGTGTAAAGGGGGTAAATTCTACGCCTTACGGTTTTTCCAGTATTTGCTTTGAGTATTTTTAAGTATTGATTTACGTGATGTGCGTGCCGTATTTGATTCATGGTTGATATTACATGATTATGTTTGATTATTTGTGCTTTGCTTGAGCTATTATTTGAGGTGATTTTGTATGAGCTATGCCTGATGTGAATGTGCATGAGTTCTTAGTTAATTTAAAGCTTCCCATCTATAAGTTATTGTTAAAGTTAAGAAACAAGTTCTTTTCAAAGAAGTAGCTCACATTCAAGAAGGTGAAGTCGTTTTAAGTGTTTTTAGTCACTAGCGCCAGTCCGTTGCCATTTGAGATTTTCAGATAGAGCAGCAGTTATGCTCTTGAGATCTTTGAGACAGAGCAGCAGTTATGCT